CAGTGAAGATGAGGTATAGTTAGAATTTCTAAATTCTGTAATTTTAGAAGGCCACACTTATGGGATCTTAAGAGCCTTGATTCTCTATCTTTAATGCCTCTCTCATTTTGTTCTTGCTTCTGTAATTTTAGGCCAGATACTTTTTCCAGCAGCTTATTTCAGGTGTCCACTACTGTCACAACATGGTGAGCAATATACAAGAATCTACAGAAAATTATTCATTACTGTGAATATATAAAATGCCATCTTTTTAATATAAGGGAGCTTAGTCCTCTTCAAATTTCCATTGCCTCTGCAGCAAATATGTCATAGAGACCTGAAGCTGGAGAATACCCTTCTTGATGGAAGTGCAGCTCCACGCTTGAAGATATGTGATTTTGGATACTCAAAGGTTGATATGTTCTGCTGAATGGTAGATATAGACATACTATCCCCATAGGGATCACTAAGATGCTCATAGTTTTCTTCTGCAAGTGCAGTCGTCCCTGTTGCATTCGAGGCCAAAATCAACTGTTGGGACTCCAGCTTATATTGCTCCAGAGGTCCTCTCCAGAAGGGAATATGATGGCAAGGTAGAGTAATTATGTGATTTTTTACATTTGGTGGAAATGCGTTATGCAAATTATTTTTCTCTGGCATCCATCTGTGTGGAGCTGAATTTGCTACCATATGTGTCATTTATTTTTATGGTATATACTACCTTTCCTCTTATGAGTAGTTAAGAAACTACTATAACTGGTCGCTCTATGACTTGTTAAGAAGCCACTATAACTCGCTCTATACTTGTTAAGAAACCACTATAACTGGTTGTTCTATGACTTGTTGAATTACAGATTATGCTTCCATCTTTGTGTAAATTGCATCTTTTTGCTTACACCCTCCCCTTCTTTCCTAAAGGTAGAGTTTTTTTACTGATCTTTATTCTTAGGCCGTGAACGTTTGCTTGTGATTATTTCAGCTGGCTGATGTCTGGTCATGTGGAGTGACACTTTACGTGATGCTGGTTGGGGCATACCCTTTTGAAGACCAGGAGGATCCAAAGAACTTTAGGAAAACTATTCAAGTGAGTATTTTCAAGTCTTCATATATCCGACGAACTTCATGCGATGCTTACTCCTTTTAATTTGGCTTTGATGTTTCTCTTCCAGCGAATAATGGCGGTACAGTACAAGATTCCTGACTATGTTCACATATCGCAAGATTGTAGGCACCTTCTCTCTCGCATATTTGTTGCCAATTCCGCAAGGGTATGCTCTCTTCTATCTTTATTGGGTGTATTCTAGTGGAAGTTTGCTTGAATTTTCAATGGGCTAACAATCTGATAGAGATGTTTTTTTTGATGAAGAACAATCTGATAGAGATGTTATGTGTTTAATGCATCATTTACTGTTACACAATGGGGTCTATGCATATGGCGTTGTGGTGCCATTTTCATCCATGCACATTTGACAGATTATCCTCCAATTAGGTCATCAGTGTTACCATATACTGTATATTTGAGATCGCCCTTATCTGAGCCAAAGAAAACTATGATATGTTGGATAATTACGTCAACCTTCCAACACCCTTTTTTACTTGATCTGAGCGTCATCCTTGGTCCCAGTAGTAACCCCTGCACTCTAGGAGTGAGTCGGTGTTGCTCATTTAGATGAATGCAACTAGATAATCTTATTCCGTGGTTCTTGTGAGGGTACTCTGTTGTTTAATCCTCCAACTAAATTTGAGTTAAATGTCTAAGACTACAACAATTGCTTGTGTCATTAAGTAAGCAGTGTTGTTTAGTCAGTCGGATCTTATTGCACTTGCCTACCCTATTCTTAAACGATCAGTTCTCCCTCCCCAAAAGGATGACGTTAACTTCTAATAGTGTGTCCTCTAAACAAATGGAGTTGGGATAGTTGTTTTTTAAATTCAGTTGCTACTGTATTAATGATTCCTTGTAACTTGGCTTTACGAAATGAGAGAGAATCAGAATCATCCAGAGGGGAAGTTAAGTGATATCTCAATTTGATGGTAATTTATGATTTTGTAATTGTTCCTATAATTGTAATGGCAGTCTGCATTTGCAATCTTACCCTTGAGAAAAATCTGAATCAACGTCTGCTTCGTCATCTCTTCAAACTTTCAACATTATAAAGTGTGTATAGCTCTGGAACATGTCATAAATAAACAACATATGCACTAGTATTAAATTTTTGCTTTCATTTCTCTGCTCCTGGCATTCTTACCATATTGGAGGGGGGAAAAGAAAAAGGAGGAAGTTATAACATATTTTAAGTAGGAGGATATTGTGGCTTGTCTAATAAGCAGGTTTATTTTGCAGAGAATCACAATCAAAGAAATCAAGTCGCACCCATGGTTTTTGAAGAATTTGCCTAGGGAGTTGACAGAAGCAGCACAGGCAGCTTATTATAGAAAAGAAAACCCGACATTTTCGCTTCAGAGTGTGGAGGAGATCATGAAAATTGTGGAAGAGGCAAAGACCCCTCCTCCAGTTTCCCGTTCAGTATCAGGTTTTGGCTGGGGAGGTGAAGAAGAAGAAGAGGAGAAGGAAGGAGATGTAGAAGAAGAAGTAGAGGAGGAGGAGGATGAAGAAGAAGAAGACGAATATGACAAACAAGTGAAACAAGCACACCAAAGCTTAGGGGAAGTTCGTCTCACCTAAGCGTAAATTATCTTGCTTGCTCGCGGAGAACTGTGGACACACATATAGCCTATTATGTCTTTGGCATTTCCTGTTTGTGTAAAAGTTGTTTCACCTGGGCCTACTTTATCCGTTTTGCTTGTAGAAACCTATTGCTATTAAGTGTGGCATTTCCTGGTCGTGTCAAGATTTTCTTTCTTCTGTTGTGTGGAACTTAAAAGAAGTCTGTAAATTTCGAGTTTTGAGGTAAGGAAGCTTGTGAATTATATTTTCTTAAGACAAAGGCATTGGTGTACTGAAGTTGAACCTTAGATGAGCCTGAGTTACAATTAACAGGAAACTTCGGTAAGTTTTGTTGTATGCATCTTAGATATATGCAGAGAATTTGCATACATGGTCCTTATGGTCTTTCAGTCTTATTTGCTTTTTATGGGTTTTGTTATTACTGTTGATGTTTGAACTCGTCAGTTTTTACATACATTGGATGACAAGCATGGTGGATTCAGAAAAGTAAAGGTAACGTGTTTGGGATTTGAACTTGGAACCTTACAATGAGTTTGGGAAAACCTAAACTATTGAGTTAATTTCTAGTCTTGTGTTAACGGGATTCGGAGCATCACTACCTTTGAAGTAAAGGTATAATCTGCGTACATTCTGTTCTGACCTCGCTTTATGGGACTAGTATGTTGTTGTTAATGAAGAATTAAGATGAGAAGATATATAATCCTAATGGTACAGTTTTTAGAGTCCAATTCATAATATATTTTTTCAATGTGGACAATGACAGCAATGATATTAATCAATTTAGTTAAGGAAGGATTACCTCACAATTAATTATTATTTCAATTCTTCTTTTAACCGATTCATCTAAATTTAGATTTTAATCAAGCAATGTTCAATATTTGATATAGTAATTCAAAATATGAGATGTAAAAATTAGAATAAAGCAGGCCGTTCTTTTGTTAAGAAAAAAAGGTTAGAAAAGCCAAGAGTGAAAGCAAGGTTGAGAAATATGAAATTCCAGCTCAATTGACACTTGCAAGAGTAGTCACGTCACATCTGTATTTTTCAACGTTCTATATTTGATAGTACTTCTTATTTGTTATGTTTTCACTTCACACTAAATTTTAAAAAGCAATATAAAATTGAATTTGTGGTCTTAAATCAAAGATATATCAAATATATCTAATTATGCTTTAAGTTTGTGATCTTGATCATGTTTAAAGAGTTGCCGAAAAAACGAAATGATTTTTTCTAAAAAAAACTAAAAAGAAAATCATGATAAAGAAATTAATATGGACGGAGTATAACAGCTGCTTTTTTGGGCTCTATATATTGGTTTATTAGTTTATTACTATTCAAAGATTCCGTTGGAAGTAGGGAAGGAAAGAGCCAAATCTATCATACTATTATTGCGGGTGTTTGGATTAGTTTAAAAGTTGATCAAACTTATTTTTAAATCAGTTTTTGAATTTTGAAAGTGTTTGGCAAATATAAAAATAACTTAAAATAAATCAAAGATGACTTAAAAGCATTCACAAGTAGTTTTTAAAATAGGTTAGGAAGTGTTTGGCAAGGTTAAAAATAAATTAAAATAAGTTAAAAACTAAAAGTAGGTCTCTTTTACTTAAAAGTCATTTAAGTTTGATTTTTTTATTTTTAACTTAAAACTAGTATTTTTTTAAGTCAATCCAAACATGCTCTTGTTTTTGTTCTTTTGTATGATCGCAACTTGGATCAGAATCAATTAATGGAAATAAGTGCAATTATGACAGCGTAGAATTTTATTTTATTTTCTCACCGTGAAAGCAACGAAGAAAGGTCGTTTTCTCTTTATGAAAAATCAACTTAAAATGGATGATGTTACAAATTGTTCATTTGTTTGGTACGTGACTGAGACTGAACCATAAAAATGGCAATAAAACTTTTAAATTCCTATGACATTTGTCTATCCAAACAAAGGAGTAAAAGTGACTTTCATGTGATGTGTATAAGCAAATCGTTCACGAGATATGATCAAAAGTTTAGGCCAAACGCATAAAACAGTCATTTTAGAACTATTTCAAGCAAATGTGTCTTTTGATCTTTTTCATTGCAAGTTGAAAATACTTTGTACATGGTGACTGGGTGAGTGGGGTGAGGTAGGGTGTTTTAACCCCAAGTAAAATCCTTCATTTTACTCTGCTTATTTTGACTTGGCATGGAATTCAAAAAAATAAAAAAGATTTTTGAATCATATATCCAAGACGCCATCGGAAGTACTGAACTAATAAGAAACCCTCTAATACCAACACAAAAATCTACTTGAAATGGCGAGGAAGAACATAACAAAGATCAGAAATCTATGAGAGGCATATGACTTCAAAAATATCTTGAAAAGCAAAGTAAAACATCAACCTTGGCAATGAATACGTACAGTAAACTTCAAGAATTTGCAGTATTTTCAACCTCCTACTGTAGAAGATCAATGAAACATCATAAATCTCTCTAGCACAGCATTGACAAAAGGATACCAAGATTCTAGTGCCTGGATTAACTTCTCTAGACGCAAAGTTCACTTCCAAAAATTTGATCAAGAAATATTTTAGTAACAAAAATCGAGGTTGCATTGCCTGTAAGAGAATGTATGGTGATCTCCAGCATTTCTTCAATTTGCTATTTTGGTAGACTCCTTGAGCACCTCCAGTAACTTTCTGGTCTCAGTCGTAACACATTCCCTATCAAACAAAGCAGATACAACAGCAACGCCTTTCAGGTTTGGGACCCCTAGTCGCATTACAGCCTGAGCATTAGACATGCCTATGCCGCCAATGGCTACAACTGGTAATTTGGAAGACACACAAACAGTTTTTAGGCCATCCAAACCAATTGTCTTATTGTTCTCTTTGGTATTGGTTGGATATACACCACCAGAGCCGATGTAATCAGCCCCATCTACCCATGCTTGCTGAGCGTGCTCCGGTGTTTTGCATGATACACCAATGATTTTGTCAGGCCCAAGAAGAGCCCGTGCAACATGAGCAGGCATGTCAGACTGCCCAATATGAACACCATCAGCATCACTAGCAAGAGCTACATCAATCCTGTCATTAATCAGCAGAGGAACACCATGAACTCGGCAGATTTTTAAACAAGCTTTTGCTGCTTCCAGAAAATCACCAGTGTCAACCTCCTTTTCCCTGTAGTTGTAATCAAGGAAGTCCACATCAAAATAGAAATCCAATGATTCTACTGAAAATGGTAGTAAGATATCTAAGAATAAAATGCTATAGTTGCGGCAACTATGTAGAGAAGGGTGCAATTCTTATTTCAAAAGTATCCTCTCTTTTATTCATAAGTTCCGTGTTCAGTTAAACTACGCCATATAAAATGAAACGAGTAGATTATAACATCCATAAGTCTGACTTCTGAAAGTTCTTGCAGACTTCACATTTTTTTTATATATTAAAAAAAAAAAGAGCCATTTGATCTAGAGTCCATTGGGCATTACTTAAATGCCTCTCAAGTTTGAGGAGATATTGTCAATAGTTAATGATGCTACCGCAAAAGAGGCTAAATATGCAATTTAAAATCAGTCAGCCATTTGGATTGTTATTGTCAGTTCTATTAGAAGGCGTTATTTGCTATTAGTAACTGTGTTCAGTCACACATTGACAGAGAGAACGGGTCTTAGTCTCCTTAAATGCTCTTGGGGAAGTCTCCCTGAATGACCTAGCTTTTAAAGTTGAGTTGGGCCAAAGGCCAATTTCTTCACATGGTATCAAATTTAAGACACATCAATCCCTGTTGTTATGCTTTTCAGTGTTGGACCTCCAGTATTATGTTATCCACACTCCAGTTATCCAGCCATGCATGTGCGATGGGGACCGTCCAACATTGGTTGAGCATGAAATCCTACTGTATCAGAATATTGATATGTAGAACTTGTGATAGTCCTAATATTTATAGGTCTCTCCACCCTAGGTTGAGTAAAATACAATCCTCAGTTTTTTCTTACTCGGAGGAATCAATAGGAAGAATGAGAGAAGGAAAGAAAGTGAACCAATTTTAAAGAAGCCACAAACCTCAGCTGAATAATGGAGGCACCTCCTTCTATGGCAGCCTTTACCGCATCAACTATTGAACGACCCCACTTTTTGTTCATCCTTGAGTCAGTAACAGCATAGAGAAAGAGATCACAAGGATCAAAAGGTCGTCGCTCAACGTTACTTTTAAGCTTCAACAGATGATCCATAGGACCTTGACACCCGCCTCCAATGGCAATGTTCTTACTATAAGACAAAACTGCTTCAACATAGCGTTTAGCTACCTAGCAAAGCAATTAAGTCGAATCAAATGAAGCAATGAGCAAATTCCATAATCAACAGAGAATCCAATAATAATCTTTTGGACTGTCACAGACCCACAATTATTTAAAAGAGAGGAAGATGGTTGGTTGGAGGGTGAATTTTGACTACCTGATGTCAGAGTTATTTGATGTACTCTTCCCCCTCCTCGCACTGCCTCATTAAAGGTACAAACAGGAGAAGGGCAGAAAAAAAACAACAGAACGTTGTTTGTAAGGTGTTTGTACTTGCACCTTAAACGGTTGTTTGGATCGTGGACTAGTTTGTACTAATTACATTGCAAGGATTGTTATGCCGTGAAAAATTATATAAGGTTTCTAAAAGGCGAATAATAATGGAGGTTTCTATATTGTTATGTAGTTTATATTAAGAATATTTTAGTGTTCAGATATACATTCTTATTTTACATAAAAGAATACAAAGAATCCCACACAAGTTATGCAGGCATTAGCAACAGTGCCAGGCTTAATGTCACAAACCAAAAGCTAAAATTGTAGTACTCCATTAATTATGCAGAATTAATACTATTGATGCAGAGTTTATGCTGCAAAATAAATGTTGTATTATTAGTCAGAATTTTATGTTTGGATTTTATTTTCTTATCTGGTCAACCAGATGGCCTATTGCTCATAACAGACCTGATACATCCCAAAGCTTCCAAGTTCCTTTACACCATAAACTCCTAACCTTGAGCCAATGTGCAATCTGTTTTGCAGCAATGTATAGAATCACATATATCCAGCTTGCATAATAAGTCAATTACCTTAACAGCAGAAAGCATTTGAGAACCCTTTGCTAGTTCAGCTGCAACAGTAGAAGCCAAAGTGCAGCCAGTTCCATGCGTATTTGGTGTCATTATGCGTGAGGACCGAAACTCATAGAAATCATTCCCTATAAGATCAATTGAAAAGACCGTAACATGTATGAGCATGTAGGTATTCAAGAACCATGAAAGCTTTCACGTAAGAACAAAAACAAGCATACAGTTAATTGACTAATTCCCAAAGATCTCAAGAAATTACTAGATATACCATCATAAAACACATCCACAGCATCAAGAGAAGCAGGGAGATCACCTCCTTTCACGAGTACATTTCTGTCCAAAAATTTAAGAGATTTTAACACATCAGAAAACAAAATCCTCTGTAAAGACTCAACTGTGACATATAATATAAAGAAGAGAATACACATCTTCCCTAATTTCATTAATTTGTATTTTACTTTTTGTAGATCTTCCCTAATTGCACTACACTCTGAACTAATACGAAAAAACTTGAACTAAACCAGCATAAGCTTTGCAGGATTTTATTCTATTTCTTATTGCCGAATACTAAACAATTTTAAACTTTCAAATATGTAAAAGAGCATTCTCCTTCTGTTTGAAATGCCGGCCATTCTTCTCCCACTCTTATAGCCCCAAATCAAGGAGAAGCTGGAGAAGGATTGAAGTTAACTCTGTTTAGAGCACCCAGAAAATGAGCCCCTAAACTCCTTTTTCAAGCATCTACAAGTTTCTTCTTCTTCTTCTTTTTAAGCTGGTAAGATATGTATATGTGATATAATCACCACTAAGCTAAGGCAGCACCATAATTACAAATAAGCCACGAACCCTACTGTGCAAAAATAAATTTACAGTGAGCCTATCAAATAATCAGCACATCTACAAATTCTATTTTATTCAGTTGTAGTTCACTCTCAAGTTAATTTTCCCTCCAAGCAAGATGAAGTAGGCATAGATCCATTCACAGAAGATCTCCTCGAAGTCTTCTCTTGTTAGAGAAAGTGAAAATTTTGTTTTTTATTTTCAAGATATGCAGCTGTCAGATATGAGATGTGTATAACTCCCTGCTACATGTGAATGGGTGATACCGTTATAGTTCTAATGATTCATAATGCTTTTGGTTGACTAATCAACAACTTGGGCCTCATATTTCCGGCAATCACGGATGAAGCGTGCTCAGTTGTTGAACCCTGGCCATTGTAGTTAATAGCAGAACATGAAGACTAACTGCAAGTGTGTGGGTGCCAAGACCCATATGCAAATTACTGTTCTGTGGAAGCCAAATGTAGAATTTGTGTATATCACACCTCTACATAAAATATCACCAATAAAACAAGGTTGAGAATGACGGACTAGTTGGATTTGCATAGAGGAAATGCATATGGGGTGGTGCCAGGGGAGGAGCCAGTCTTCTGGGGCTTCATCTGAACCCCCTTCGGCAGAAAATATTACTATTTATATATGGTTAAAATTATTTTTTTATGTATATATAGTAGATGTTGAACCTCCTTCGGTTAGTTCGTGTGTTTAGTTCTTCAAATTTTGAACCCTTATTAAAAATCCTAGCTCCGCGGTGCTACATTGTAAGCAAATGATGGTTTGAATGATTTAAAAGGTATTTAGTTCTCTCTTGTAAGTGATAGCTATGCACAATAATTTTTCTAGCAATGGACTTTGTCCATAAGTTCTACAGGTCAAGGTATCAATTTCACTGTTTGAAAGAAAAATCTCAAAAATTAACCTTGGACCAATGTCATGTATTGCTTTTGCAGCAGAACGCATGTCGGCAATTGTTTCCAATGGCACACCGCCTAGTAAAGCAGAAGCCTCTTTCAAATTTGGGGTCACTATATCAGCCATGGGAAGAAGCTCCTCCCTGGTATCAATGAAAGGCTATGATTAGACATGATTATCCAATGAGTTGAAACATAGAGAATAAACATAGAAGATTTCACACGACATTACAGCATATAAATGTAAAAATTACATCAGTACATATATCAATGAAGTTTCATATATTGTGCTCCAAAATTTATCACAAAAGCAGTGTAAATTAAAGACATAATGATGGTCATGCTTAATCCAACTATCCAAGCATGCGACAATTTACCATAGATAGCATGTCTGTATAGGAAGTTTAGAGATTGATTTATATTTCATGAATATGGCAGCAGAAAATTTAGCAATAAAAAATTGTTTAGTCAATAAATCCATATATGAGTTTACACGGAGGGCATGGAAAGAGTCTATCACTCTCAAGGTGACATACCTAAAGCTATCCAAAATAGAGGGACCAGCTAATGTATGTCCACTTGTGGATACCATAACAGGGTCAACCACCAAGGCTGTCTTCAAGCATTTGATAGCAGCATAGTTAATGTCGTCGAAATTTCAAAAACAGAACAAATATATTGCGTACCTTGTACGGGGAATTCCTTCAGACTTTGACAGAGGGTTTTCACTATGCCAGTTGACGGAAGCATGCCTGTTTTCACCTAAGACAATCTTAGTGTTGTGACGCAAAATAGACTACTGAGACATTAATGGAAACTGTAGATTGCTTAGTCCGAATAATGTTGGTATACTCATTCCATGTATAGCTTGAATACTGGATCGGGTTGTATATACAGTTGTGCAACATATACAATCGAGTAGACTTGAATAAAGCATTTGAGTCGGGTATAGAGGTAGGTTAATGTTGTTAAAATAACCATTTTACCCCGCCTGTCACATGGTATTAAATTATTTGATAAAAGAGGATAATAATCCCCTCCAGGATTAAATCCCAGTGTCCCCAAAACTAACCAAACATGGAACTCTCTTTTATCCCCCTGAGTATCCACGAACCAAATAACAATTAATTCTTTGTATTAATTTCACATATATGGTGACATTTGGATTCCAAAAAGAAAACTGAAAAACAATAATAGCATGAAATTTGTCCAATAAGTATCACTGAAGAAAATTGTGCTGATAATTCGAAAAACCAGTAAATTAGCCAATCATTTCCTTTATAAGGGATGGTCTATCTACATTACTTTCAGCCATCTAACCTTTCCTCCTAAACTATCTATACTAGTTATTGGTACGTAGTTATGAGTTTCTTTATATGTCATTTCCTGTAACAATGTCGTGGGCTAGTGGCAATGTAAGTTTTATACAACTGGAAACAAGTGATTAATTCAGTTTTCAATGGCAACTCTGAAAGACACATAAAAAGCAAAGAGTTTGAAGGAAACAGGGAGTATAATCCTACTATAAAGTTAAGCAACACTGAACCTGTTCCGGGAAATCTAAACTTAGGAGCATCAAATTAGCAATATATGAATATTCCAAAAAGAATATACTCATATTCCGGTTTGGTGCAGTATCATAACTTGACTGACATGTGGCTATAACTATTGATAATCTAATCAATGACCAGAACTATTACACTCTTCAATTCCTCAAATCAATGTATACTATACCGAAAATAAAATTATCAAATGGATGTTAACATCAAGACATTAACATGATATACTTACAACATTGGGCGGCATATCGGAAAGGACCGACCTCAACTGCTCTGCTACAAAATCCTCCGGCACAATGTTCACACCCTAGAATAAACCACACAACAAAATTCACAAAGGCGAACACAATAGCAAAATATCAATAGACTGTAACCTCGTGGAGAGTATTAATACCTGAACCCCTACGGTGTTTTGAGCAGTAACAGCAGTGATCACAGTGGAGCAATACACTCCCCGAGCAGCACAAGCCTTGATATCCGCTTGAATTCCCGCGCCGCCGCCGGAATCGGACCCCGCAACCGTCAGAACATGCGGAACTCTAACTTTGGACTCATCGCACGGGGGCGTGGAAAACTTATCGTCTTGCATTGCCTTGAGATACAAATACCTATATTGATGAATGCTTTTGATGCAAGCAGCGCCGGGACTCAACAGCACTGGAATCTAATAATTGAAATTCGTGTGAGGATCGAGTGTAGCTTTTTCACAACAGGTGCAGACCTGGTAAATATCATAGGGTAGCAAGCGAAGGAATGAGATTTTACCTGAGGTTTGGGAGTGAAGAAGGAAGTGGACAGAACCTGAAAGCATAAATGCGCCATGTGAGAGATGGATGAAGCTTTTGGGAAAGTGTAGAGTCCACGGGTACGGGTTTTTACCCGTGAGAGTCGACCCAACGTATCACTTGTGATTCTTCACTGGATATGTGGCAATTAGTGGCGTACAGCATAAGCTGATTTGTTTAAGATTTTTTGACATGTTGAAATTCCTAGTGACCCAGCTATTTGCAGAAAGAAAAAAAGAAATAGAAAAGAGAAATGAAATTTAAAGTTTGTGTTTAGATATATGTTTAAATTTTTAAAAAATATTATATATTTTATGAGTAGAAAAATAATTACTTGAAAAATTGGTTAAAGCTACTTTTAAAATTTTGAATTACATCTTAAAAAATTGTTTAATAATATAATCAAACTCTATTTTTGAAGTGTTTTTCTGGGGAAAAAAACAAAAGAAGGACATGGACAAACGATTAGTATTAAGTTGAATGCTAAACCAGATGGCCTACAAACTTCACAATATGTAAATAATATTTTTTTATAATTTCTTGAACAAAAATGACGACTAAATTTGTTAATGAACAATTTAAAGAATATTTGCTTGTCAAGTTTGAGAGCAAATTATAATATTATGCGATCAATAATAGTTATGATTGATCGAGTTTATCGAGAGAAGGATATATACATAAATTGTAAAATAGTATATAAATGTGTGTAGTTATATGCCTTTGTATGTGCTCCTTTTAAAAATAATTAATGTTGGCTATAATTATTTATTTTATTTTTTAAAAAAAAGGAGGAAAAAGGATCAAATTAAATAGTGGAAACTAGAATTTTTATAATTCCGTTAATGGTTATTCAAAAGTTCCAAAGCTTTTAATTGGAAATCAAGTTTTGATAATTTGTTGCTTGATTAGGTTGGTTGTTATTGGAGACGTTTGAAGATAACTTTTGGAGCTTATATGTTTATCTTGAGGGAGTTTGGTGAGGATTAGAATTAGTTTTGATTAAAATTTCATATTGCAATGAAATAAAAAAAAACAGTGTTATTCTTTTCTAAATCATATATATAAATAATATAAGTTGTATATATATACTTAGATTTTGAATGTATGTATAGAGTAGCACCAGACATAAAATGACATATACAAAAATATATACCAACAACATACCAAATACATGCAACATAACTCGGCAACAATAATAACATACTCAATGAAATTTCACAAGTGAAGCTTAGAGAAGGTAGAATGTGCGCAATCTTTACCACTATCTTTTGGATGTAGAAAAACTATTTTAGAAAGACTATCGGCTCAGATGTAGCAATTCTATATATAAAGAAGAAAATATAGCGAGCCAGGGGAAAAAAAGTGCAAAGTCTACCAGAAGAAAGCAACCAACGACTACAACAAAATAGTGCAATAATCGAAATAATACACAACATACTAAAATAGAGTATTGAAAATAATAATAAAAAACAATGAGATAAAAAAAATAAGAACTACAGTAATACAACTAGTACAATGACAAACACCAACCACCCTAAGTAAGACAACACTACACTATTCACACTAACCTTCTACCTTAATATCCACATCCTCATATCTAAGGTCATGTCCTCGCTAATCCAAATCTGAGTGATATCATGTCTTATCAACTTTTCCCAATATTTTTTCGATTTACCTCTACCTCTCCTCATACCCACTATAACCTATCTCTCACACCTCCTTACTCAGTGATGCACCCACACATTGCCTCTTCACATTTTCAAACCATTCAATCTCGCTTCTCTCATCTTCTCTATGCAAATTATGTGTAAGTTATATTTTAACCAAATTATATATGATAAACTTTTCATATGGAAGTTATATATTTTGACAATAATTGTATATGTAAGGGGACGTTTGGTTACTGGATAAGGACAAAGTTAATACATGAATAACTTGGTTATTCATGTATTAATTTTATACCATGTTTGGTTTGTAAATAGAATCAAAAGTATTCATGTATAAATTTTATACAATGTTTGGTTGGTGTGTCTCCAAATGTTGTATAAAAATTATTCATGTATTGATTTTATGTGTTTGGTTGCATTTTTGTAATTTTACATAGCTAATACTCACACAACTTATGAAGAAATCTATGTATAATTTTATACATGGTAGAAGATGAAATAAGTTATGAGGGTATTAGTTATACATGAATTAAAATAATAAAATTACATAAGAATCAAAATTATTCATGTATAAATTTTATACAATGTTTGGTTGGTGTGTCTCCAAATGTTGTATAAAAATTATTCATGTATTGATTTTATGTGTTTGGTTGCATTTTTGTAATTTTACATAGCTAATACTCACACAACTTATGAAGAAATCTATGTATAATTTTATACATGGTAGAAGATGAAATAAGTTATGAGGGTATTAGTTATACATGAATTAAAATAATAAAATTACATATTTACCCTTAATTTGTTTACTCAAACCAACCCTGCGACCCGAACTGTTGCATTTTTGTTATTTGTGCAGAGAGGCAACTCCATCAGGTAGTCCACATTGAGCCCAGAGTAACGCTTTTATTTTTTGGATACAAGCTTTATAATTTTTCGATTTGAAAACAAAAACGTATATTAATTTACAATAAATTAAATAATCAATAAGTAATAATATATGTATTATAATTTCTACATAACTAAATCCTACATAAATAATACCTACATAATTAATATTTATATAATTAATACTTACATAATCAATACATGCATAACTAATATACCTGCATAACTAATACCTACATAACCAATACTTGCATAACTAATACATACATAACTAATACATGCATAACTAATACCTGCATAATTAACACATACATAACTAATACCTGCATAACCCTAACCAGTAACCAAACGACCCCTAACAATCTGTTTGAATCATTGTTACTCATTGTATTGTATTGTATTGTATCGTTACTATACCTACAATTAAGGTTGTTCATGGCTATGGTTATAAAACCAAACTGAACCGTAATCCGAACCAAATCGATTAAAAAAATCGATATTTGGTTTGATTTGGTTAGGTTTGGTTTCAAATTTTGAAAAATCGATATAATTTTGTTTGGTTTTGGTTTTCTAAAAATTATCCGCAAAAATAACCAAACCGAACCAATAAGTTATATATATAAATTTTATAATTATTTATAAATAAAGTATAAGTATTTTGATAAATTTTAAGTAACTTAAGTCTTTAATTTTAGGGAAAACTACATAAATGGGTCATAAAATCTAAAATAATTACAAGTTCATATCCAAATTCTAAAGTAAATTTACTTGAAATACCCATTCTCTCATAAATAATTACAGTCCATACCCCCCCCCCCCCAACTTCATTAAGGGTGATAATTTTTCGCTTAAAGTGCTACTAAAATCGTATCATATATTGTATTTGTATCATTAAGGTTGATAATTTCGCTTAACTGATACTAAATCAGTATATATATATTGTATTGGTATCATTAAGGTTTCTTGTTCAAAAATTACTTATTAGTCAATGATACCATAAGAGTATATATGTATATTGTTGTGGTATCATTAATGTTTCTTGTTCAGAAATTACTCACTAGTCAATGATACTATAAGAGTATATGCTTATTTAGTGGGGTATGAATGTAAAGGGTATGTTTTTGTAATTATTTTGCTATTATGGGGTATTTGCTTATTTTCCCCTTAATTTTACTATTTTCTGAAGCCCAACACTTAAATTTTGGCCCAATTATTAAAACATTAAGTCTAAATCCTTCAATATTCATTACTTTAAAGATCACACTTTCTCCGTTCTTTATACAATTCTTTTAACGCAACATTGAATAATTTAAAGCTCAAGCTAAATAACATGGTAATTGATTAGTTTTGACTATGAAATATTGGTTATTTTTTTTATAAGTAATTTCTCAATATTTTAAGGTTTAATTTTTATGTTGAGATTTCCAGAATATTGAATCAGCTTTATGCTATTGACAATGAGTTTTTTTTTAGTTTGTGAATTTTGGTACATTGGATGAATCACTTTGTTCGTGTAATAACTTATTTGTGAATTATTCATGTACTAAATTTTTGTGTCTATCGAGATGCGTATGTCCTCAACAAACTTATTATTTTCAAACAAAAAAAAACAAAAAAGCTAACCAAACCGACGATAATCAAACCGATGGTTATTTTTTTGATTTGGTTTGGTTTGATTTTAGCAATTTTAAAAACGATTTAAATTGGTTTGGTTTTGGTTTTAACTAATAACCGATCCAAACCGAACCATGAACACCCATATCTACAATGTTTGTTTTGATTGTTACTTAAAATGTATTGTATTGTATTGTATTGTTAAATTTCGTTGTTACGTAACAATGAAAACTCCTATTTTATGGAACAACCGATTTGGTGTGTTCCCATTGTTACTTATTTTTTTTCCAATTATATCTTTACATAATATTTCAAAAATACTATTTTATCCTTTACCTTATATTATTTAATTCTAGTCAAACCTCTTACTCTA